CAGCTATGAAAAATATAGATGAAAACTCTCTTGGTAAATAGTGTGGTCTACAGCTTATCATAAGATACTCTACCTCAGGCGAGCAAAACCTCGAGACTTCCTTAGTATTTGATTTTGTGCACCAGCTGTTGTTTACAAATATACACAGACCGCCACCCCTTGTCTTACCGGAGTCAGACGTTCTATCCTGCCGATGTAGCGTATAGCCCGCTAGCTGTATGAAATCCATGTCGTCGTTCAGCCACGACTCAGTGAAACATAAGATATTACAGTTTTTAATGTCCCGTTGGTAGGATAACCGTAATCTTAAGTCGTCCAATTTGTTCTCCAATGATTGAACGTTGGCTAATAGGATTGATGGAAGAGGCAGTTTACTCGCTCGCCGTCGGATCCTTACAAGGCACCCCGATCTACGTCCACGATATCTCCGTCTCTTCCTCACGCGAATGGCGGGGATTTGGGCCTTGTCGGGTGTCTGTATGATATCCTTCGCGGCCGCCTCGTTGAAGAAAAAATCTTCGTCCAATACGAGGTGAGTAATCGCTGTCCTGATATCCAGAAGCTCTTTTTGGTTATAAGAGACGATGGCAGAAACATTATGTACAAAATAAATTACAAATAACGCGGAAAAACACACATAATAGTACAATTGGTTAGAGGGCTGTAAAACGGCAGCCATCTTCTCCGGCGCTGTATGGCTCATATGGCTCAAAATCTACCCATATGGCTCATATGGGTAGATTTTCAGTTCATCAATGCCAATGCCCCCTGATATCTGTTAGTATGTGACATGTAGCTGGCTGAGACGTTTCCCTTCCTCTATAACAGTCAGTCTGCCTGTCTGTCAGTCAGTGTATCTGTACATCTCTTTGTCTGTATACCTGCCTGTCTGTCTGTCTTCCTGTCTATCAACATGTCTTTCGGTGTAATCCATCTGACTACCTATCTGTCTCTCTCTATAGTTAGCTTATGAAATAAAGACTGTGGACTGTGTAGCCTTTAGAGAACCTAGACTGAGGCAGTTTATCTCCAGGTCCATATATTCCCCCGACAGTAACACCCAGACGCTTCCAGTCATGGCGAGCTACTTCAACAGGACCAGGAAGAGAAACATGCCACCCTCTTTCATCTAGACATAACTCCACGAGACAATAGAACTATCCATGGTAGAAAAAGTGGAGATCATATTTGAAAGAAGAATCGTTCATAAATCTCTTATTTATGCCCGGTAATGCTGCACAAGGTTGAATCAATTCTACAGCGAAACGCAGGTTACTAAATCATCAACCATCTTCTATAGTTGTTAATAGAGTCGGAGCCGCAGTAGTCTGATTTGAACTTCTGGTCTCTAGTCTAGAGTATGAAGAATATCCCTTAGAACTGACTTGACCTCTGTTATTAAGGATCATGTGTCTATATCTCACAGTACCAGCTCAGTACATCTCAGTGGTTAAAGATGTTACCATGCTAGTGTCGGTATGTTAGCTGTATCTTACTGCATTGGCTCAACAGTATGTTGCTGCATTTGTATCTCACTGCATTGGCTCAACAGTGTGTTGCTGCATTGGTATCTCACTGCATTGCCTCAACAGTGTGTTGCTACATTGGTATCTCACTGCATTGGCTCAACAGTGTGTTGCTGCATTGGTATCTCACTGCATTGGTTCAACAGTGTGTTGCTACATTGGTATCTCACTGCATTGGCTCAACAGTGTGTTGCTGCATTGGTATCTCACTGCATTGGCTCAACAGTGTGTTGCTGCATTGGTATCTCACTGCATTGGTTCAACAGTGTGTTGCTACATTGGTATCTCACTGCATTGCCACAACAGTGTGTTGCTGCATTGGTATCTCACTGCATTGGCTCAACAGTGTGTTGCTGCATTGGTATCTCACTGCATTGCCTCAACAGTGTGTTGCTACATTGGTATCTCACTGCATTGGTTCAACAGTGTGTTGCTGCATTGGCATCTCACTGCATTGGCTCAACAGTGTTAACTCAGGTCACTAAGCACCCTAAGTAGAAGCAGACAAGACAACAATAGGAGAGCTGATTCCCAATTCGCTCTCTACCACTCTCCCTTGGCCCTAACCCATCACTGTTTGTAGATCTGAAGGGCCTGGATAGGTATAGTTCATGTTTGTAAATCTGAAGGGCCTGGATAGGTATAGTCAATGTATGTAGATCTGAAGGGCCTGGATAGGTATAGTCAATGTATGTAGATCTGAAGGGCCTGGATAGGTATAGTCAATGTATGTAGATCTGAAGGGCCTGGATAGGTATAGTCAATGTATATAGATCTGAAGGGCCTGGATAGGTATAGTCAATGTATATAGATCTGAAGGGCCTGGATAGGTATAGTCAATGTATGTAGATCTGAAGGGCCTGGATAGGTATAGTTCATGTTGAGCTTCCACCGTATTGTTTACGTTTTACCGATCTGCATCCATCGAAGGGTTAGGGCCAAGAGGAAGGGCTAGGGAGCGAATTGGGACAGGCTGGATTAGTTGAACTGTTCTAGAAGAACTGTCATCTGTGGCCAGTTTGAATTGAATTACCTGGATTATTGAACTGTTAAAGGGAAACTCCACTCAAAACGATATTTTTTTATTGTTTTAATTAGTCCACTGTTGATACGGTCCCAAATGTTTTGCATGTCAGCAGTCAAGTTTTCAAGATATTAGACTTTCAAGAAGCAAAGTGTCACAGGCCACATCATCATGTAAAAAAAAATTATGCAAAATGTGACCGACCGTCTCGATTCGGTCTTATGTAGCAAAATTTGAAATTGTATTTTTTACATTGGATAAAAGTACAGATTGAGAGCTAGAAAATGGTATGTCATACACTACAGTTGAGGAACAATGGGAAAGTAATTCTGCTTTGAAAGTTGATAAACTTGTAACCCCACTTTTGAGAAAATGGCCCTTGAATGTTTTGGTACAACTACTGGAGAGCTCTTCTTTGTCCACACCCATTCAGCATCGTTCACACCCTCTTAAGCCTTAGCCCCACCCATCTCTTTAAGGAGTCACATGTGAGACCAGGTGCTAAACAGTGAGTACGGTAGTGTACAACCAAAGATTTCAAGACTAAAGGCGGGTTTATACTGCGTCTATCGACAGCATAACTGGTGTATTTTAACACCACTAATCCCATCCGTTTAAAAATAAATGTAGTACATGTCAATCTATCAAACCAGGCTACTAAAAGCAACTTTCTAAACAATGTTTTGGTTAGTTTCTAGCTTGGAGAATTGTAGAACTTGGACACTGTCTCATTGGCCTAACGTTATATCCTAATTTTACTTTGGTATAAGTCATGTTGTTCTTCACATTACCGTCTCTGGTAAACACACACTATATCAAATAAAATCTATGTTTATTTGTCACTAGATACAGAAGGTGTAAACAGTAAAGTGAAATGATTACTTGCATAGTGGAGTCTTTTGTTTAGACATGTAGCTAACTAAACAATGAACCATAATCCCAACACACCTGAATTTTCTCCATATCCTTAGCTATCATACTATTTTCTCCTTAGCTATCATACTCTGGAGCGTGCTACATGGCAGACCAATCCGAACTCATCTCTCGGCATGTCCAGCCCATCTATTATCTCAGCCAATCATGGCTAGTAGGAAGGTTCCTGTCTTTTTCTGTGGCTAAACCACAGAATTTAAAACATGTATTCGTATTTACAGATGGCATACAAGTTTGTTATTAAAGCACATGAAAGTTCATGTTCCAGAAGGCATTTCTGCCAAAAAAACGCATTTAGATTTTTTTTAAAAGTTTTACGCTGAAATGCCTGTGAAGTAGTAACGCCCCACATACGCCTACTTTCCTGAAACTAGTCACAAATGCTTTTCTTCTTGAAAGTCCAATATCTTGAAAACCTGACTCCTGACATTGAAACTAAAGATAGTTTTTGAGTGGATTTTCCCATTAAGTCACCCAGCTTATAGCCAGGTGGAGAGAGCCATCACAACCGCTTATGACCTGTCACCATACCTCAAAGACCAGAGGCAGGAATCATTCATTTCTGTATTTGTTCAGTTTTTACAGCAACTGGGAGAGATTAGTAACTGGTTCTGGATCAGTTGTTTCAGCTAGTTCCCCTTAGTGGGGGGAGTGTGAATGTCCCATTAAAGGACCTTAAAGTTGTCATGAAAACTGTGGAAGAAGGATGGTTTAGTAGGAAGAGAGCATGGATGGAAAATAGTCTGAAAGCACAGTTATATTTTAGTGTCGGCTGTAAACTCTCTCTTTCTCTGTCTCATAAACACACACACACACACACACAGTGAGATACCCCTTGTGAATTGGGTGACAAGCCGTTTATGACAATGTGCAAAGCTTTCACTTTTATTCTTTTTTGTTCTGGGTCTCCTGGGAGATGCCTGTTTTCTCACACTAAAAGGCCAGCTGTGTGAACGGGAATACCTAGTCAGAACTGAATGCATTCAACCAGAAAGTGTATTCCACATTTAACTCCTCAGAATCAGAGAGGTGTGGGGGGCTGCCTTAATCTATGTCCACGGCGCTGTTGTTGTTAGGGGATAACTGCCTTGCTCAAGGGCAGAACGGCACATTTTTCCACCTTGCCGACTCAGGGATTAGAACCAGCGACCTTTTGGTTACTGGCCCAATGCTCTTAACCGCTAGGCTGCCTGTCGCTAGATACCTACACGAGATCCCAGATCAGTTACAGAGATGTGGGCTTAGGGTCAGGCTCAGGGTGTTTGAAGAACCGATACTGTATCAGAGTCTATGACATACAGACCCCCAGGTGAAGACATAGTGCCTATACTGTACAATCACTTGAGCTATAGGCTAGATATGTGTAAGTGGATCTGTTTGATCTGAGCCCAAATTCATGGAGTTGTCCTCTGACATGGTAGATTAAATCCTGTCATTGACTAAAGTAATACCAAAACCTGTGGACTGTGGGAATGGTCATCCCTTGTGTATCTCAAAATAAATCTATCTTTAGTGGAAATAGGCCCTTTTCACGTGACGTCAGACAACTTCCGTTCTGCCGCGATGCAGGTTATGTTTACATCCGGTGTCGCTTAGGAACGCTTAGCTAGTAGCACATCATTATGGAGTTCACCCAGTCCCTTTCACATCTGCCACCAATACGACTTAACGACGTAGAACGACTTGCTGACAAGTGGTCCCTTACTTCAAGATCGAAGCTTGATAAAGGCTACAAGTTCTTCGTTGAAGGTTACCTGTTTGATTATGAAGGTACGTGTTTATCTTTATTTAGCTTAAATTAGCCCTATGCTAGCGAAGGTTATGAGCTGACGAGTTTCTGTTTTGCAGCCTCTTTTTAATATTACTGCTGTTTGTATCGACCGTAAGATAAGAGTCAGTAATGTATTAATGGCTAATGCTGCGCCCTTTCTCCCAATCACTGTATTGAAACAGTCTCAAGTGTAGTTAACGGTGAGGTGACAGTGAGAGGGCGATGTTACAGGTCCATGAAGAAAAATGAGGAGGCTCATCGGCTTCAGGTTTCTCAGATAAACAGTTCTCTAACATTATGATAAGATAGGTTAAGATAGATAAGTTTTCTTTTTGTTGTGTTTTGCTGCGGTTGCAGATTTAATAAGAATGATTCCACAAAGTTCCACTGTGGATCAGTTTGTTTCTCAGTCTGAGCTCTGATTTTGTATCATTAAACTTAATACACAACGAAATTCTTACAAACCGATGTGGGTTGTTGACGGCAATAAAGACTGGGAAAGATTCTGTGATAACTCAAAATGTTCAAATTTTCGATAAGTGTTGGCACTACTTGTCAAAGGTTTCAGAACAGCCAATTTTTCTTAATTAAAAAAAGAAATTGGGTTTTGAAAATTGTGTACAGTAGTTTATAATGAAACGCAGAAAAAATGTTTTGTAAGTACAGCACTAATTGTTATGTCTCTATGAACAGGTTACACTAGACTCTGCAGAGGTTCCTGTGGTACTCAATCACATGTCATGTTCCTGCTCTGCTGGGAAAGCACTATGTAATCACATAGTAGCACTTCTTTTTCAAAGTGCTCACTATGTTACCATGGGCTTTAAGACAGTGCCATTGCCTCTGTCATGCACCAGCGCACTGCAGACCTGGCACCGGCCTAGGACACAGGTCAGATATTATTTGTTACACTGATGCAGAACTTTGCAGTTTGTATTGACTTTTGACAATGTATTGTTCATCATTATTATATCACAGGGAATTGTACCAGAGGCCACCAATGATATGGCGGTGTGTAAACCAGCGGCTAAGAAAAAAACAAGTGTCAGAGCTGGTGTGAAGTGCACACTGTACCGAGCCTATGATGGTGAGTCTGAATGAGCCCCCGCCTGTACTAGAGCACAAAGACTTTAGTGCATTTCTAAAATAATACAAACATAAAAGTGATTATTATTTGTTACTTTTTATATAGACTTTCAGTGGATATTTTTTTATTTGTATTAGAAGCATGTACGAGACTGGATGAGTGTGGTTGTCTTTTTTAGTGAAAAAGATAAGGTGGCATTTAATGAAATCTAAACTTGACATATCTCACTTTCATGCCAGGGCCTATTCCGGATCCTCACGTCATGGCCAGTGCTGAGAAACTGAAAGACATCCGTCCACAACCAGGGATTTGCAAATTGCTGCACGGGCTTGAGGGCCTTAATTTGGTGGACTCTAAATTTGGCCCTGTGCCATTTGGGTCTGTGCTTTCTTACCAGTGCCCTCTAGAATTAAGTAGAGATATTATTAAACACCCTGGTGCCAGTGAGTTTCCTCAGTTGCCTATTGAAGGTTACAACTTTAAATTTCCCATTGATTTTGAGCCCAACTACATACAACAATGTCATTTGGACAGCCTGATTGTGTCAGAGGAGATGTCTGCTGCTATTGAAGCAGAAACAAGAATGCAGTCAGAATGCCAGCTGTGGAGCCAGGTACGCAAACCCCGACTGACAGCCAGCAGATTCCGTGAAATATGCCATGTTCGTGGGGAGTTGTCTGCCAAGGCTTTGGCAACCCGCATTCTGAGAGGAACTCCTCAGACAGCTGCTATGAGAAGAGGGTTGGATCTGGAACCTGAGATACTGAGGCAATATTCAGATTTTTGTGATGTCTCTCTGAAACAATGCGGGGTCATCATCCACCCTGATTCACCTCACCTTGCAGCCAGCCCGGATGCTAAAGTCTTCTGCCCAACAGAAGCACCACCATTTGGTCTTGCTGAGGTTAAGAGTTGCGATGTTGAAAATGTTACCCAAGTTAAACACCTGATCACAGTTAAAGGCCAGGCCTGCCTTAAGAAGAGTCACAAATACTACTATCAGGTTCAAGGCCAACTCGCCTTAAGCGGACTTCAGTGGTGTGACTTCATTACAGATACCCGCACTGACTTCACAGTTGAGAGAATCTTTAGGGATGAGGAGATTATCCACTCAATGCGACAGAAGCTTGATCATTTCTATTATAACATCTACATGGATGTCTTCTTAAGTTATAAAACATAAGGCAGAATTTTATGTGTAAATAGTGTTAAGGTAAATGTGGAAGGTGAACCTTTGACATTTTTTTCTTTAACTGCAAATTAACTTGTCATATACTGTATATCTCCTATGTACTGAAACACACATTTTGAAAAGGATTGTGATGTAAATGTCGACATGTTTTTCTTTAACTGCAAATGAACTTAATTGTGTTATATACTGTATATCTATGTATTGAAATACAAATTTTGAAAAGGATTGCGATGTTGTAAATGCTCTTACCAAAATCAAAAAGGATTGGAAGCAGTTGCTTGCAAACATATATTTAATAGTTCCATCAGTGCCATGACACATAAGCACATAACATGGTTAATAGTTGGATATTTTTACAATATATCACATTAGGTTCATTAATAGCTATGAAAAAGTTATTACCCTTAACAAAAACATACAGTATAACATTAGATCAATTAAATTACCAACAAAGTTAATTCATATTTACATTTTTTTGTACATACAATACAGTAATATAAAAGTACTTCTATTTACAGCCCATCTAGCTTACTCAGGAAATATACAACTTCCAGTTGACAAAAACATCAGACTGGTTTGTCTCCTTTAATGTCAAGAGGTCCCTGATAGTTCGACATGAGGCAGCAGATGGCCCACAGCTGATTCACTGAACCCACTGTGGAAAGAGGAACAAGCCCATCCCAGATATGGTACTCCTTCACCCTCCGTATGGCCCTCTCGACTAAAATCCTCAGCCGGGCGATGGCCTGTTCTGTTTGTTGTTTGAACAAAATGGTACACTGCAATAGCATCTTCTCGAAGATTGTGCCATGCTTCGGTGTTGGATGGGATACTGTTGCGATACAGACACCGGGAGAAAAGAAACAGCTAAATTAACATTCAGCTTTGACCAGGAATCAATATTTATCTAGCTATCATGCACAACAGTATTTGAATAGGTGAGTTACTATACATTCATGAATAAACTAACTGCCTAACAAAGGGTTAGATAGCTAGCTAAGTAAACTTGTTACATTACAGCCAGGCAGCAATGTAACGCTACCTTTTAACGTTATCGGTATCTGGTACTAAGTTGTTGTTAGCTAACGTTAGCCCACTTTTAAGTAACTAAGGCAGTGAACAATTATGAATTAACAATAACGTTAGCAAGTTACAAACCATTGCATATACGTAAACATTATTACTCGTTGAGAAGTCTCAGGTTACGGGCGAACGGAAGTGAAGTTAACCTGCTACGCGGAAAGGCGGAAGTTAGATGACGTCATCGTGAAAAGGGCCTATTAAAGTCAAGAAGAAAAATCACCAACACGTACGTGCAAGCTCACACACACACACATAACGGTCCCTGACCTAACCCAAGAGGCATACAATAAACCAGTGTGTGAAAGGCCTAGAACTGGTCCAACTCTACTGCTTTGTACATCTCACATGTTTGGACTGGTTGTGGTTATTGCATATTTTTATATAACCCTTAGTTTAAATCCTGATTATATCAAAAGGAATTTGCTCTGGAGGCCCTTGCTTGAGTTTAGAGCTTCTGGTTTTATTTGCTTTGGTGATGCCCTAATCTTTATTAATGCACTGAACCAGAGGGAAGCTAAGGACCCTCCCTGTGGTTGGTCTCACAAGGTTGCCTAAGATAAATGTGACACTGATTCTACCAACCGCTATTTATTTGCTTTTTAAATCTTTCTTGTCTGTAGGTTTTTTTATTTTTTTATTTTACCTTTATTTAACTAGCCAAGTCAGTTAAGAACAAATTCTTATTTACAATGACGGCCTACACCGGCCAAACCCGGACGACGCTGGGCCAATTGTGCGCCGCCCTATGGGACTCCCAATCACAGCCGGTTGTCTGTAGTGACGCCTCAAGCACTAAGATGCAGTGCCTTAGACCATTGCGCCACTCGGGAGCCCTGGTTGAGGCAGTGATGTGACGAAGACTATATAACTCTCTCTATCTGCCTCTATTTTTCTCAACTCTTTCTTTCTCTCTTGCTCTCTCTCTTTCTCTCTGTCTCTTTCTCTCTCTCTCTCTCTCTCGCTTGCTCTCTCTCTCTCGCGCACACACACACTCCTGCATTAACTCTGCAGTATGGTGTAGTAACCATACTGGCACCCAGTAACCATGACAACAGAACTCTGCACCGCACTTCCCGTTCCCTCCCTGTAATACTGGAGAGAGAGAGGGAGAGAGAGAGAAAAGTCTAAAGTGTTTGGCTCCTCACTGTGTTGCCCTAGCTACAGATTAATTCCCTGTCAACTCGCTGAAAATACGTTTATTTTTTAATTAAGAGAATGCTGTGTCTCAATCTCTTGCTCCCTTCCTCTCTCTCTTTCTCTCTCTCTTGCTCTCTCTCTCTCTCTCTTGCTTTCATTATCTCTGTATCTTGCCGTATCTCTTCTCCCTCATTTTGTTCCTCTCCTCCTGTTTCACTCCCTCACTTCTCTCTCTCCTCTTTCTCTCTCTTTTATTCTCATTTCTGTCTTGTCACCTCTTTCATCCCTCCCTTCATCTGCAATGGGTGTTTTTTTTTTTTGCCTTGTGTAATTAATGCTACTGCTTAAATAATGGAGTGCTAATGGCGTGCAATTGCACTAATCAATATACTGTTAATGCTATGCCAGGGCTTGTTGCTATGATATACACAGTTTGTTTACTTTGAAAGGGTCTTGTTTCTTTCCACTAAGGAATATAACCTTGTCCTATCCTCTTTGGTACAAACCAAATATGGTTCATTTTGACAATAGCACACAAGTCCCTATCGGTCCCATTGATTTGTAGCTAACTGTGGCTAAAGTTAGTGGAAGTTTGTAGGGGGTGTTTAGAGAAACCAGAACCATGGATTACGGTTTCTCCTGTCCCATAGATTAATTTCAGGGTAAGGAATCCTCTAACATCAAGTTGTACAATTCTGAACTTCCCCTTTAACACAGATAGACATGCGCTTACAATAGAAAAACTGCATTACCCACATGATTATGCATAATCCCACATATTACAATTCATACTTTACTACCGCTTGTTATAGTCTTTGTAGGTGACCTCTCCAACAGCCACAGTGATCCTACCCCCACCTCTAGTCTAATGCACACCAGACCAGATACCATATGGCTAGGAGCGAGACCTCTGGTTTGGCCTAAATGTTCCATGAAGGCCTTTTGCACGGCCAATAAAAAAGTGGTGCTCTTTTTACAGTGGTGTTTGATTTCTGATATACTGCAGCATCTGTGATGTGATGTTACCAGTTAAACAGATATAATTGAGTGTTTCTTCCAGCTAGTAACAAGAAGCACATGTTACGGAGAAGGCAGAGGTCGCAATGAGGTTCTGTTCTACCTGGGTAATGTTTGTTTGTGTGTGTGTGTGTGTGTGTGTACATGCATATTGGTTTTTCTCACTGTTAAGAGTACATATGATTGTCATCCCCTCAGTGAAAAGTCAAAATACGTCCAAACTAATAAAGTTAATCTTCTCCTGGATACTCCACTGTCAGTACTTCTTCAGTCTCTCCCCTTGTCCCATCCCCCTGTCACGAGAATTTAAATCTCTAATTAATCAAACTTAATGCTCTGAATAATTCCCAGAGGGTGTAAAAAATACATACACAGCCTTTATACCCCCTGACACACAAAGGCACTTTGCTCCGCCCACCTTTAAACAGCTCCTCAGTCCCCTTCACCCTGGAATGCTTTCTCAGCAGTTTCTAACTCCTCCCCCTCTGTTAGTGGGTTGACACTAATAATAATAATAATATGCCATTTAGCAGACGCTTTTATCCAAAGCGACTTACAGTCATGCGTGCATACATTTTTTTTTGGTGTATGGGTGGTCCCGGGGATCGAACCCACTACCTTGGCGTTACAAGCGCCGTGCTCTACCAGCTGAGCTACAGAGGACCACAACATTATAACTCTAACACCGTTCACACATTTATACTGTATTTGGGGTGAAATCCTTTAGTCATTATTCTTAAAATACAAATTAATCTATCACCCCCCTTCACCTCTCCACCTCTCTACTCATCTCTCTTCACTCATCCATCCACACCTGTGAAGATCCCCCCCCCCCCCCCCCCCCCCCCCCCCCCCATTTATGTCTTCTTTACCTCCCTCTGTCCTCCTCCCTCCTTCCTGCACCCTTCCCATATCACCCTTCCCATATCACCCTAGGCCCAGGGTCCTGAGGATGGTAACTATCTACCACTATGTAGG